GAGGCGGAAAGATCTTTGGCGGAGGTTATCAATGCAGAGATCGGTGGTCTCTTCCAAGTGAGAGAGAAAGATGTTTAAGTGTGTATGTTCTTTTAGTTTCTATACGAGAGAGAGAGAGAGAGAGAGCCCATATCTTTATTGAATATATAAAAATACTTATACAAAAAAAGAAAATTGAAAATAAATCTAATACGGTCAATTTAGTCATTTCAATTTTACGAGGGACCAAATCTACGTACAAACATGGCCAAAAGGACAACGAAGCCAAAAAATTCATGGTTTGGACTAAAACCCCAAAAAATGCATACCACAGGGACCCTTTTTGCAGTTTTGTCTTATTTTTATTATAATTTAAGTATCATTCATATATGAATATCACATGTAATAAAGATTTTTCTTAGCTAAAATATATTTTTTACATTAGCTCTCGTCACATGTTTTATTCACATATCAATAAAACGTGTATTAGCACTTCTCACAAGTTATGTTCATATGTGAATAACACATTTATCAAAACTTTGTTACAGTTCATTGTTATCTATATATGAATAAATAATTCGATTTTTCAAAACACTTCGTCTTTTATTAACATATTATTTATTCATATATGAAAAACAAATGAACTGTAACAAATATCCAATAAATGTTCTATTCATATGTAAATATAACATATGACGATAGCTAATCACGTTTTATTCATATATGAATATAATATATGACGAAAGATGATGTAAAAAATATATTTTAGGTAAGAAAATTTTATTATGTGTTATATTAATATATGAATAATACTTAAACTGCAAAAAAAAAACATAAGTTTTATTCATAAGTGAATAATGAATGTACTGTAATAAAATTTTGATGCATTGTTTTTAGTTATAAATAACAAGAGCTGAAATTAAAATAAAATAAAAAATATTTTGTCTTAAACCAATATCAATATGGATGTCTATTTATAGAGAATAAAAAATTATAAATTTTGATATATTTAAAATCATTTTTCGATAAAAATAGCTTTTTAATAATTAAAAAACGAAAAAAACCATGTTTTTATATATATTAATGTAATGATAACATAATTTAAGGAAACATATGTGGTTAGAATACGCATGTGTATCGTTTGCCCATTTCCGCCAATATGACCAAGTGTTTTGTGGTTAGAATACACATGTGTATCGTTTGTCATTTCCTCCATTCTCAATATTTTTTTTCTCAATTGAACCATCATCTCTCTCTCTCTCTCTCTCTCTCTCTCTCTATATATATATATATATATAATATATATATATATATATATATATATATATATATATATATATATATATATATATATCAGTGTTGTAAATATCGGCCTAGGCGTTAGGCGGTCTGCAACTGATTACGATTAGGGGTGCTTGGCGGAAATTGGTCAATACCGGTCAAACTCAGGCTAGGCGGTCCTTGGCGGCCCTCGGTGGTCCTCGGCGGGAAGATTTTAAAAAATTCAAATTTTCAAAATTTCAAATATTACACCAAAATTTACAAAACTTCAAAATTTTAAATTTTTAAATATTCAAATTTTCAAATATTATACCAAATATTTCAAAATTTCAAAATTTCAAAATTTTAAATTTTCAAATACTATTTTTTCTTAGGATATATTAAGTTTAAAAATTGTTTTATTAGTAATTTATGGTCTCCGATTAATCCCCGCCAAACCGATTAATCGCTTGACCCCAGTCGACCGTCGAGCTACAGCCGAGCGATTTTTATAACCTTGATATATATATATATATATATATATATATATATATATATATATATATATATATATATATATATATATATGAGAGAGAGAGAAATATTAAATGTTAAAAAATATAAGGATAACATAATATTTTTATTCTATTTTATTTTTTATAATTATACATAAGATTATTCATCTCTTTTTTTATAATTGTATATGTATGCTTAAAAAAAAGGTTTTCTTATAAAACTTATAGATAGGGATGAACTAGTATGTTTTTTTTATTAGCTTTTGAAAATGTTTATGATTAGATAATTGGATTGATAGGTATTTAATAAATTAAAGGGACCCTAAATTAAAGGTAGTTGAACGATAGTGTGCCAAAAATAAAAAATAAAATAAATAAAATAAAATTTCAAAGGTTAACCATCCGATAGCGATGAAATATGTCACTAGATGATGCATCAATTAGCAACACGTTAGATCCATTCTACGTTAGATCCATTCTGACAATAGATATGGACTACTACTTATAACATCATTTTGGTGTCACCTCACATGTCACTTCATCAACGGTGTTATAACCAAGGTTCTAAATAACGTAAGACGTGACTTGGCGGCAATGTCAAGCCTCAAGTTTTTCCGAGCTTTGGCGAGCCATGTCGTTTGTAAGGCATGACTTAAAGCTACAATTCAGCACATAATTAATATTTTTATATGTATTTTCAACTATTATTCTATTTTATACACATATATGAGTTAAGACGGCGTTTTGGTAAAGCTTGACGGCATGCACACTCGTTGGAGCCATGACGAGCTTTTTGAAACCTTGGTTATAACACTAAGTGAGGAAATTGTAACCATGTTAAAAGCATGTTATAACACCAATTATTTTTCATTTCATAATTTCTTTTTCGAGTTTTTTTTTATTTATTAAAACGAATATATTTTAAATAAAACATAACATTTAAATAAAACATAATGTTTGAAAAATAAATATAACATAACATTTAAATTACACATAACATCCAAAAAAAACATTACAAGACAAAAAAAATACATACTTTATTTTTCCTAAACAACGCTATTCGACATCGTTACCGTCGAAGATATAATCCGACAATTCATCTCGAAGTTTCATATGTTTATTTGTGTCTTGAATGTCAACGAATCTATGCAAATATTATATTGTTCCTAGTTTAAATTGAATGTGTCTGGGCTCCGTTGGGATATAGTGTGCAATATTATATCATTTATCTTATACTACCATGTTATGCATTATGATACACACATATATGATATACCATAGAGTTTCTAAGACCAATGGTTGTGTTGCATGTTCAACTATGTGTCACTTCGACTTTAGAACTCCAAAAGCACGTTCCACATCTTTAGATGCTCCTTCTTGTATTCTCTTAAATAATTTATCTCTTTCTTTAACCTAGTGTCGAAATGTCTTCACGAATGTGGAATACGGAGGATATATTTCATCCGTAAGGTAATACCCAAACTTGTATTTGTTTACATTCTCTGTGAAATGAGCATTAAGGGCCTTTCCATTCAAAAGATCGTCGAATATTGATGATTGTGACATCGTTGTTGGAACCCACAACCCCGATAAACGCAAGCCAAATCCATAAATCTTGCGAGGCAACAGCCTCTAAAACCAACGAAGGTGAACCATGATGATCACTTGCATACTGTCATTTCCATGCTACTGGACAATTTTTCCATTTTCAGTGCGTGCAATCAATACTTCCAATCATTCCGGGAAACCCATGTCTTTCTTCATGTGTTGCATAAAGTTCTTGCGTATCATGCAACGAAGGTTTCCGCAAATATACGTCTTCGAATGTTTCCACAACACCTTTTGACAATCTATACAAATTTTTCCATGCAGTTCTTTCGGACATTCTCATATAATCGTACATGGTGTCGCGTGACTCCTCCATAGCCATCAAACGAATGGCCGCAACAAATTTTTGCAACGTTGTGAATCTTCACCTACCTCTAGCATCATAGCTCAATTGGAAAAATGTATACCGACACGTATAGTAATTATGTTTAAAAAATAGTACATTTGTATTAAAATTAAAGAAACATATAGTAAATTTGTACTAAAAAATATATTGTACATGTAGTAAATTTTTATTTATTTTGTATAAAAATATAGTAAATATGTATTAAATTAAAGAAACGATACCGACTTTCCAAGGCGTTGGCGATCCGTAGGAACACATTCCTACTCAAACGAAATCTTCTTTTAAACTTCTTCGATCCATATACACAGTTATCCGCAAAGTAATCGCGATATAGACGTTCATGTCCTTCCTCACAATTTCTATTTAACATCGCACGTCTTGCTAGTAGAGGGGCTGTGTCTAGTTGTAGTGGCTCGTTGGTGCAATACGGGTACATCATAGTGATGAATATATCATCACCGTCATCGTCGGACGAGTCGAAAGGATCCATAATTTTTTTTGAAAAGTTTTGAAATTGTAGAGAATATTGAGAAAGAGGGGAATTGTGTGAATTGAAAAATGTATATGTTATGAATTTATAGGTAAAAAAAGTAATTAATTTTTTTTATATTGCTTCAAACCCTAATGGTCAAACCCAATGGACAAAAAACGATCAGCCAATCAAAGTGAGCTCGTCGTCGTTATGACCGAATGACACATAACGAGAAGCCAGGGCGGTGTTCTTCTTGTTAAGACGCCGTTGTGGCTCGTCCACGTAGGCAGTAACGACGTTTTGAAGGTCCACACTGTGTGCTCTTAACGATGGATAAAGAGTACAAATTTACAGTTTTCTTTTTATTGTTTATATATGCAATCACAAGAAATTATATTATTCGCCATATTTTCAAACGATTCTCACAAAAACTTATCATAACTTTGCCCTCCTCGATGCAACATTTACAAAGATGTCATGTCACCATCAACTACATCTATAACACGCAACTTGCATACGGCACCCTTTAAACCACACATTCCTCCCAAAATAGACAAACTTGACCCTAACTCAAAGGATGGCTAATAGACGCTTCCTTTTGTAAAGCATTGGAATGCGATTGACAATTTGACATTCAAAGGTTGATTGTGAATTGTGATATTCCTTTTTGGGTTGGGTTTTATTTCTTCAATTTAAAATAAATATAATGAATATCTTAACCATTAAACTAAACCTTTGCTCATTGCATACATATGATTAAAATAAGTAATTATAGAAAGTAAAATGACAAAAAAAACGACAAAGGATTAGATGACTTCTATCAAACTTGATTTCCAAACACTACAAGTTTACTCATCAATTCATCATCTTCTTGCACATTTTGTTTCCCCAAAATTCTACAAACCAAATCACTCCATATATCTTCTTCAGGAAAACATCCATCAACAATCATGTCATCAAAAACCCTAATCGCCTTCTCAAGATCACGTTTCTCACAAAAGAAACCAACAAGAACCTCAAAAGTTTCAACATCAACACAAATCCCCTTACCTCGCATCCTACAATACACTTGAAACCCTCTATTTCCATCACTACCCCTACAAAGACCTCTCACCACAGTATTATGTATCTTAACATGAACACCCCAAGTCACTCTCTTTATAGGAATCCCTTCAAACACCATTTCATCAAGAAAGTTTGCAGCTTTATCAAATCTCCCATCATCACAAAACACCTCAATCATCTTCCAATACAATCCTGCATCTGGTTTCAACCCTTGAACCTTCATCCTATCAAATATCTCCAAAGATTCCCGAATCTTTTTCTCCTTACATAATCCATGAAGTAAAGTGCTGTAAGTTACCATGTTGGGTTTATGTCGTTTGGCAATCATACCCTCCAGAATCTCCATAGCCTCCAAACTACGCCCATTCTTACATAGCCCATTTATAATAGAGCTATAGGTGTATACATTAGGGGTTATAGTTTTAGCTTCCATTTCTTGAAAAAGAGCCAAAGCTTCATCTAAATTGTTTTGGGATAATCCATGGATTAAGCTAGTGTAGGTGACAACACTTGGAGAACAACCTTTTGTTTCCATTTCTTTAAAAAGCTCTTTGGCTTCTTTAATTTTTGATAATTTACATAACCCATTGATTAAAGTCCCATATGTGTATGTATCTGGGGTACACCCATGTTTGGGCATCTCACGAAAGATGTTAATGGCTGAATCAATGGTGGAGATGTTCTTGGAAAGAGCTTTGATTAAGACATTAAGTGAAGGGAGATTTGGAGGGAATCCTAATTGTCTCATGTACCTGTAGAACTTGAAGGCTACTTTCAACTGGTTTTCATCAACGAGAATGGAGAAGACAGTGACGTAAGCTTTCAATGTGGGTTCAGATATCTTCTGGAAAATTCTCATGACGTCATGAGGTTTATGGACGCGTCCATAGGCTCTGCATATTGATAAGAGTATGTCTTCGGTGACTTTACAGGATTCTTTTGTCATTCTGTCGATGAAATCTTCTGCTCTTGTAAACTGATTGACAGATAACAGCTTCGAGATGATGAGGGAGTAAGTGGTGTGGTCATGGCGGAAGCCATTAGCGTACTCTGCTGATGCCGAATCAAAAACGATGACAGCTTTTTCTACATTTCGCTCAGCTTTAATCAGTTGCTCAACTAGAGATGTTGTTACTTGTTTTGGCCATTTGATAATTGCTTTGCTTCTCATCGCCATGTCGCAAATACCCACGAATTTTTTCCAAACTACCCCATAAGTCTATCGGAGGTACTCAGGTGAAAACTGGATATCTGAAGGCCTGGTGTAAAGATGATCTTTCTTTCAGACATTTTATCAAACAGTTTGTAGACATGTTATCAAACAATCATTTGGAGACACCCAAGTACACGAATGATGGGTTTTAATATGACAAGAATCGTAAATACGAGAAAGATCTTACTACCATAGATGATGGTGCATTCAGAGAGTGATCAAGTTGCTAGATCGTGCTCAGTTTTGAAGTTCTTCGGTGGATGGCTAAAAGTATAGGCTACACTGCTACAGCTGCTATTTGGGTAACTCGTTGTAGTTTGGCAAAGATGGGCCGGAATCATGATTCATTAAAGATAAAATATTATAATTGATTGGAAATAATGGAATGGGTAAATTACACGGATGGTCCCTTTGGTTTAGGGTAATCTGCTAGATTGGTCCCTAGCAACTTTTTTTTAACTCGGACCGTCCCTAATTTATATTTTCATTACACGCTTGGTCCCTGTCCGTTATAAAAAGACTATTTTACCCTTAATTATTTATTATTTATTATTTTACCTTTTTATATTAATAATATATTAAAAAAATTAAAAAAATAAAATTAAAAAAATCCCTAAAACGCTAAGCAACGTCTCTAATCCCTCATTGGCTCCCTCTTCACCCCTTGTCTTCCATCATCACCATTCACCAGTTGCATCACCGATCAATTGCATCTCCGGCGACTCCAACAACATCACACATGGCTAGTGAGAAAATCCTTCATCTCCTTCCCCTCTTCACTCATGGGATTAACCCGTCTCTCTACTCTGCCACTCTTTATTTCATTTGAAAGCAGACGACACCTAAAAATCCAATTGCCTCACTCATGTTTTCCTCCACCAACATCTATTTCCAGCACCACCAGAAAAGGCGGAGGTGATGCAGGCACTCGAATCCGACGAGACAATACAAACTTGAGCATTGGCCTCTTTCTTTGTCTCGGACTGGAAAGTATGTTACCGAACCAGAAGTGATAAATACAATAGATTTCTTGTTTGATATCAGTTTTGGTGCCCAAATCGACTCTACAACACCGATTAGGTTTGATTTCAGGTTTAATTTTCAGTTTAATGTTTGATTGAGTTCTAGGTTTGAATTAATTTCCGCATTCAGTTTTCAATTTGATTTCATGTTTGATTTCAGTTTCAGGTTTGAATTCAGATTTGATTTTGAGTTTTGTGTTTGATTTCAGTTTCATATTCGATTTTAGTTTCAGTTTTAGGTTTGCATCTTGGATCAATTTAAGGTTCGGGTTCCATTCAATTTTTGTGTTTGATTTCAGTATCAGATTCGATTGTAGCTGGAGAAGACAGCCGTGGGGGAGGTGAAAGTGCAGCCAGAGAAGACATCGTTAATGTGTGAGATTTTCCGGCGAAAGGAGTGAGATTTTCCAAGGATTTAACACAAGGAGGGAAGGGAGGGGAAGAGGCTTCGGTTGTGTAGATTCTTGAATGAGACCAAAATATTTTTTAATTAATACTTTTTCCACATTTAATTAATATATATATTTTTAATTAATTTATAATTTAAAAAAGGTAAAAGAAATCAGTAAGGGTAAATTAGTCTTTTTAGAATGGTCAGGGACCAAGCGTGTAACGAAAATATAAATTAGGGACGGTCCGAGTTAAAAAAAAGTTGCTAGGGACCAATCTAACAGATTACCCTAAACCACAGGGATCATCCGTGTAATTTATCCTAATGGAATAATGAAATGAAGAAACTCATGGGATGAATAATATTATGTAGGTTTGGTATTAATATTTTCGAAAAAATTATACATAACAAAAGCTTGTTAAAATCTAAAAATATTATTAATAAAAGTTATATACTTTCTAGTTACTTTTAAAAAAATAAAAGTTTAATTTTAAATTTCTAAAAAATCATTGTGTTGTTGAAAATTACATAAATAAAAAAGGATTACATTAAACATTTGCAATGAAAATCAACAAAATGAAAAAAAAAATCAATAACCGTTCATTTCATTATATAAAATATTATTTTGTTTCATGATATGTTTAGCAAAAATATATTATAATTATAAATTATAAGTTTTATGATTTTATCCTTATAAAATTGTTTGGTAAAAATAATTGTAAAGTTTTGAAATTATAAAATACTTTGTAACAGGAGGATGTCATTTTTATTTGAAAAATTAAATATTCTCCTGTTTTTGTTTCTACAAATCCTTCTACCCAATTAAATGATAACATGTATCATATTAATATATTAAAATATCATTAAATGAACATTAAATTTTATACATGTCATTATTTAATTTGATAGGAGGATTTGTAAGAACAAAAAGTAGGAGAATATTTAATTTCTCTTTTTATTTATGTAAAAATATTTTTTTAAGTAACTATAAATATTTTAAATCATAAATTTAAATGAAATATAAAAGCTAAAAATTCATAAAGATCTAAAAAACAGTTGAAGTAATTCCTTATTTAGAAGCTTTTTATTACAAAAAAATAATAATAATAAAATAAAAATATCTAAGCATATATTTCCAGATAATTCTTCTTTTACTTCAAACTTGTTAAAAAATTAAAAAAAAAAAAAAAACGATCTCAATCTATTTATTATATTTTTAATTTTTGATTTTTGATGGATAACCACATTTATTTATTGAATTATAAACTTTTAACACAGCAACAACAGAACTACCGACACATTTTTCTTTTTTTATATTGTATATTGATATACTTTAATTTTTAACACTTTATACCATATATATATTTAGTAATATAGACCCATTCAATTCAATCCAATCAAAAACAAAAACCCACCCTCTAAATTTCCAAATGGAAGAAACGACATGGGAACAAAGACACCATGCCCTAACTCACATCCTAACCCACCATACAACCACCCCATCTCTCCATGCCCAATTCTTCATCGCCACACAAATCCCATGTTACCTCGATTGGGAATACCCTCCAATCCTGTGCCCTAAACACCATGAATTCCGATGGGCTTTAAGTCTTTTCATGAGGAGGGTATCGATGAAGAAAGCATCTTGGAGGTCAAAGTGCCCTTATCAACTACCCCAACCCTTGGTGCTTGCGAAAGGCGTAGAAGAACCAAAATGGGGTGAAGAAGATAAGATAGAGTATGTGAAGAAGAGACTTAGAAGGAAAAGGTTAGGGAATTATATCAACCCTTGGATTCCAATCCTGTTGCCTAATCTTGTCGTCATGTCTTTTTTGTTTTGGGACCCTTATCACACTCCGTAAACCTTATAATTTCATGTTGTGGTGTTATAATCCTCGTAAAATTAGTGACAGTGTATTTAGTTTAACTACTAATATCATCGTCAAATATGTACAAAATAGCATAAGGAATAACAATCTCCTTTCTTGTAGGTCAACAATAATGTTCTTCATATGGTCTTGTGTGTAAGACAGTAAGACCCAAAAAATACTGCACAAGTTGTATGTAAGGCATCAAATACGTATAAATTGTTAAGAAGTTTAAGTTGTGAAAATACACTTCTACATGTTGTATCTTGTGTATAAACTAGTGTTAATATCCCAAGAGTTGGTCTTAGATGTAATTGCGATACAGTGAGATGATTAAATGGGAACAGACGGCGAATCTGCTGTATCCTGGGAATAGACGGCGAATCTGACGAATCTGTTGTAGGGAACAGACGGCGATTGACATGAAAAGCACATAATATTTGGGTTTTTGTGTTAATCGGGTTTGGTTGTTCACACGCATGATATTTTTTTTTTTGAAGTGTTGGCGATTGACATGAAAAGCGTGATGAAGAAAGAGTCCTCACGCGTGAAATGCAATCCACCTCATCATCAAACTATTTCACAAGGTTCTGGAAATGGTGTTTACCAGTGAAAAAGAGAAAGAAAGAGAGAGATAGACACATTCCTTCTGTCAAGATCCATGACCATCCTTACTCCACAAGATACCAACTATACTTTGGGGTTGGTGTTCACTAGTGGAAACCCCCTCCACATCAGATTTCTATGTGTGATTTTGCCTCCATCCGCATGGCCTAACAATCATGTCTAAGAAGGAGAAGATGAATGTTTGGTTGGGCCTACATATCAAAAAAAAATAATAAACAGATGAATAAAACTTATAAATTTAAAGGTAAATTTGAGGGACTTGATTCAAAACAAATTGAAACCATAAGAATAAGATAGAAAATAAAAGTATTTTAGGGACTTGATTCATAATTTTCATAGATGAAGATTGTTGTAATTTAGTCAATTAATTAAAAAGATAATCATCCATTTTGGTCCTTTTGTGTTTAAATTCACTACAAATAATTTACATAATAATCAAGTTTCCTAGACGTACCAAAGCCCAAATATGCAAGATTCTAGATAAAAATCGGATAGAGTCTATTGATCAAAAATATTTTGGACAAATGTTTTGAAACTTGTTTGTTGGAAGATGGAAAATGTAAAACTAGGAACTCAATAGTAGAACTTCAATACTAATATTTTTATAATCTGAGATCATTGTCTCAAGATCACGTAGTTTTAAGTTTAAATCAAGTAATCTTACTCTAAAGATTTCGTTTGTTCTGGATTTCTCACTTCATGGATCTAATTGTACTATGAATAATGTTGCAAAAACAAAGAAAGAAAAACATGAAGAAATATTGAATAAAAAAAGTCGAAAAAGGACTTAATTAGAAAATATTGAAATCTAAGGGACCAAACATGTCTATATTTCCACTCACAAAACCCCTGTTGTACAGATCCCAAACCCCAATACATTTTGTTTCGACGAACTACATGGCAACAGCCGTCGCAGCTAGGTCCGTCTTCCGCTCCGCCTCCACCTTCACCACCGTTGGCAGGGCGGCTTCTAGAATCTCCGCTGGCGCTAAACCCAATGCGACGTCGGCAGCACGCTCTCCCTTTCGTCTCCCCTCTCAAAACCCCCTTTCTCATCGCATTTTCAGGTCATTACTATGATACGTCGTATACGCTTATTTTCTGCTACTGATTGTTCCTCCAATTTTAACGCAATATGTTATTCGTGTTCTTCATGATATATAAATTTGAATTTACATCCCAAATATCAATCCTACCTGGTGATGATATGATCGCCAAAGTTTTGGGGTTAAACTACTTAGGTTTTTGAGTAAATCTAATACAACTGATATTAGAAAATGAGAAATTTGTTTAATTGGTCACAAATGCCGCACCTTTAATGTTTATTTTGGATCTGAATTTGTTAGGTCACCAGTTGAGATGAGCTGTGTCTCTATTGAATCGATGCTTCCATTCCACACAGCTACTGCCTCTGCATTGCTTACATCAATGCTTTCAGCTGCTCCAAGGACCTGTGGTTGGACTCTTGAAGGTATATTTGTTTCACTTTGTTTATTATTTTATCCTTCGTGTTATATATTATGTTTCAATTCTCATGTTTGCCTTGTGAAAATTAATGGAATTTTGTTCTATTAGAAGAAGCCAATATGCTTTTATTCTGTGCAACTAATGTTCATATAGATGATTCTCCTGTAGATATGTTCTTATTAATTTGATGTTAGGTAACAATACTTTGACCATAAACATGATAAAAGCTTGTATTTGTAAAACATTACTTTGTGATTGCTTCAAAACTTGTCATGTTTCATAGTACACTCAAACAATATGATTTTAGAATCGTTAAACATAGTCTTGTACTCTATTTAAAGCAAATTTCCACAACTTGTTTAGTCAAGTGTCCTTGTATTAGTATGTATTAAAAAGTTTCAGTTTTTAAGTTTTAACACAATACAGATAACTTAATTTGTAGAAGATATTGATCAATTTGACATAAGTTATCATAGTTATAAAAGTATGATGCTAATTTAGTACTTTTAATCAGATATGAACGACGATGTATGATGACTTTTTGGAAGGCTCTGAACCTACTACAAGAAAAGCAAGTCTGGATTCCCTTTCGTTTTTGTTTTTTTTTTTAATGTTAATTATGATAATATTGGCCATCACTAAAATTGAAGTTTTAGACTTAGATCTTATTTGAGTTTGTAGCAAACATAGCATATATTATTTGACATGGGGTTTTGTTTGTTTAGGGCTGTGATTGGTTGACTTGTTGACTTGGGGCATCAAGAATTAGCATATGGTTTTTTCATTCGGGTAAATTGTTTGTTGATTGTAGATGGATGATTTTATGCATTTGATCGCTAGCTCTCAAGATGTCGCCCATTGTTATGGTAGTCACATCCTCCATTTTTATCGTTTGTACTTTTAAAAAAAAACATGAAATTTAATGATCTTCATACTCTCAAATGTCGATGGTTATTCATTCCCTTGATTAAGATAAGATGATGTTATGAGTATATTATTAGTTTGGTAATCATGTTTTAAAGGTTTTTTTTCAATGATGAGATGAAAAGGGCATTTAAGTCTTTTGCTTAGGTAAGAGATGAAGATATCAAGTCCTTGTCCTGTCTTTTTGTATGTACTTTCTCATTTTTGCTTTCTTTCAATACTTGTTCGCTAAAATGACCATAAAAAGACTCATATTCATTATAACCACAGGTTTTTGGGACTTTAAAAAATGACCACAAACCTTATTATGAATAATCATATCTGAGTATGTATGAACTAATTTTCTTAAATACTTAACTTAAAACTAGTATTTAGGTCATGACACGCATTGTGGCAGAGAGTTCGTTTGCAATTAATGAAATCGAAAACTATAAAAAAATGTAAGGGACCTAAACGTAATTTTAATGTGTGGGTTGGCTTCTTTGTAATTAGCATGTGATTTACAAATGTTAACAATCCAAATATACCATCGTGATGTTTATACCATATCAAATGGACTATAAAACTATCAAAATAAAATTTTAATACAAACAATTATGTATGGAGGAGATATAGGAAAATAAGACTTGAAAGTGTATCTCATGGAAATTAATAAAAATGAAAAGTATATAAAGAAATTATGTAAGGGACGAAAATATAACTTTAATGCGCAAAAATAACTCATTTGTAATTCATATATAGAATTTGATTTACACATGTCAAAAGTTCACATATATTATAGTGACGAATATACCATATCAAGTAGACCACAAAGTTATCAAAATGAAGTTTCTATAGAAACAATTATTTATGGAAGAGACGAACACTAATAAGGATTGAAAATGTATCTTACGAAAACTAATAATAATGAAAACTATAAAAACAAATTATGTAAGAGACAAAAAATATAACTTTGAAATATAATAAAGAGCCAAAATAACAACTTATAAAATAGGGAAATTGTTAGAAAAGTCTCAATATTTTCAGGAAAGTTACACTTTAGTCCCAATATATATTTTTTTAAACATAAAAGTCCCGATTATTTGTAAAAACACGATAATATGTCATTTCCTGTTAAAAGAAATAAAATGACTTTTTTGTAAACTTGAGCCAAAATGAAATAATCGGGACTTTTATGTTCAAAAAAAAATCTTGAGACTAAAGTGTAACTTTTCCGAAAATATTAGGACTTTTCTGACAATTTCCCTATAAAATACAATAATTTAACTATAAAGTTATAAACAATGAATATTGTTATATAAAAATAATTGAAGAAAAAAAAATGTGGAATCTTCATAACATATGTTGTAATCGTTGTAATTTGATTGGGTTTCGTAATTTGTGTTTGACGAATCATGACATTTTGATAGACGTTTGTTGTTGCATTAGCCATTGTTTTCTTTCTTCTCTTATAATTTTAGTGAATTATAGAGTTAGTTTGATAGACATTTGTTGTTGAATAACCGTTGTTGAATAGAAAATAAGTTTCAATTTGGTAGCTGATTTGATTGAATATTCAAGAAGTGGATCAGATTGGAGAAGTTAGTAAACCTTGAACATGAATTTTGTCTTTTGATTAAACTGATTATGTTAACTTTGGATAAGTTTATAAACTTCGAACATCGTGGTAGGCACTTCTATAAAGAGTAATGAATGAAATAACTAATGCAATCTAATTTTTATATGTTAGTACATCTTGTTATACAAAGTTGTGTTTATTAATTAGACTATTTTGATTCAATATAAACTAATCGCCTATGCCCTGATATGATTGTTAACTTCACATGAAAATGAAGAAAATAAATCATAAATACATAGTCATTAAGAATTTGTTTGCATAGATATAGAAAATTTCTTATTTTTCAAACTTCATCTGATTTATGTCATATTGTTTATTATATTCAATTTCATAATATCTTCGGTAATTTCTTATAAACAATCACAAGTTTATATTTATTTATAGCAAGGACAAAGATGAATCGATGATGAAAGCATAAGTTGGAATGATTTTTTTATATCATAAGTTCGAAGACATTTATAAACAAATGGACATGTTATCATGTTATGTCATTTTTTGTCGTGTTTTCGTGTTTGTCGGGTTCGTTGTTTTTTTAGTCGGGTTGTGTTCGTGTTAGTAAAAAAACACGACTTCGTGTCGTGTCGTGTTCGGGTTATGAAAATGAACTTCGTGTCGTGTCGCGTTAAAAAAAACACGAAACTACTGCCCGATTTGCCACCCCTCGTACGACATCCCTAAACAAATGCTTCTAACAACTTGGGCTACACAGATGTCATTAATTTATTCATTTATACTTATATATAATCTACAATTTTTGTTGACCATTATTATTATTATTATTATTATTATTATTATTATTATTATTATGGTTTAGATTATTATTATTATTATTATTATTATTATTATTATGGTTTAGATTATTATTATTATTATTATTATTATTATTATTAAATAGGTCTTTAAAGACATTTTCACAAATATGTTTCTAATATGTTTTCCAAAATATGTTTCCAAATACGTTGTCAAAAATATGTTTTTAAAAACGTATTCATTATATAAAAACGTATTTTGGGAATTTATTTTGACAACATTTTTTCAAAAAACATATTTTCAAAAAATATTTTTTGACAACGTATTTTGAAATGTATTTTTCATCGTATTTCCAAAAACATGTTTTCAAAAAACATATTTAAAAATGGATTTTTGAAAATTTATATTGACAACATATTTAAAAACGTATTTTAAAATGTATTTTGCAACGTATTTCCAAAAACGTGTTTTCAAAAAACATATTTAAAAATGGATTTTTGAAAATGTATTTAGAAACATATTTTAAAAATGTTTAAAAAAACATTTTTAAAAACGTATTCTATATAACGTATTTAAATACGTATTCATATTTATTTTCTTTTCGATGATGATGATGATAATGATAATAATAATAATAACTATTATTATTATTATTATTATTATTATTATTATTATTATTTATAATATTCAGTAAATAATAGCTATATATGTGTAAGAGTTTATGAATTATATATATATATATATATATATATGTTCAGCAAATAAAGCATCAAAAGCGTTCTAGCTAAGTGGTTAAGTGTGTTACCTTTTGAACCGGAGGTTGCGAGTTCGATACATGTTTCCCCCATTCATCGGTGATTAATTGTTAAATAAAACAAAGAAGCTGACGTTGCATGTATTATCAGCCAGCCATGTCAACAATTTAGCCAAGTCAGATGTCACGTCAGCACTTACCAGTAGGTTAAAATGGTCAAACTGATTACATTAGCCGGTATTCTGTCCTTTTTCGTTAAAAAAAATTAATTTGGAACTAAACCGTAAACTGGACCAAAACTTTGGGACTTTTTCGGAGATTTTCCTAAACAAAATTAGTTAAATACTGCTAAACTAGTTAACATAAAGTAGATAAAAAAACATCAATATTAGTTCATAAACATATTATTAAAAAAAAAACATTGATATTAGTTTTAAACATTTTCCTCGTATTTTTTTTACTTGCAAGAATTACTTTGTCGATCTAAAAGATGTATTGATGTGGTGGTGTTTGGAATGACCTTGTCTGACTTCGGTGTTGTTTGATCTTACATTGGATAGTGATATCAGAATCCATATTTTTGCAAAATCTAAAATTCTTCCGATAGGCATTCACGAATCTCTTAGGATCATTATGGAAAGGTAGAGTTTGATGCTGAAATTTGGGCTCGACGAAGTAGATATGTCTGATAAAGAAGTATTGTTGGAAATGGAAATAGGACAAGATAAATGGAAGGTAATTTGTTGACCTATTCATTTGTTGGTAGTTATTCTACAAGTTTTGAGCCTTCATACCATCGTGTCTTAATCAAAAGATAATTTGCGCGTAAGTTTGGTTAATCCATAATCTCCGGTCGATGTTATATTATATACCAAAAAAACCTACACAATGTAAACACTCAAAGACAATTCATGATTTGCTCTATGGATAGGATATGATATAAATAGTTGCATTGGAAACAAACGCTTTAATAAATAACATCATGAATTATGTTGATGATTCACGCTTTGCATTAACATTTGCATGAAAAATCTCACATATGAAAATACACCTTGTGAACACATGAATGGTTTGTGTGTACATGTTTACATTTAAAAGTTCGTGAAAGTGTTGATTGGTGTAAGATGGTACACACAAGATGTTTGAAAAATAGGCCTTTTCAATTTTGTAGTCCTAAGCAACATGTTTATATTAGGTCGTTCGTTCTCTTCTTTTGCTTCTTAATCTCTTATTCATCATCTAAGACAAGCTAACAAAGGAGAAGGTTGTCGACAAGAAGTAGTGAAATCTAAAGGAATCAATGTGATGTCCAAGGTCCATCATTTACATCATGGACCCCTTGAACCTAATTATGAAGTTTTTTGATATAGTTTGTGCAAAAAATATTGTGGTGGGGATTCTAATGGACCTATAGTATTGTTTATCTCATCTATGTTTAGTGTGATATTTTTATTGGATAAAAGACCAGACAATAAATATTTCAGATTGATAGATGAAGAAGTAACTTTGCATAACTACATGTGTTTTGCTTCTTGACATGCCAACGAGTTAAAAGATACTTAGTCGGAACCAAAAGAAACACAGTTCGAGTTGAAGAAGAAGAACATGAACATAAAGCGACATTTTAAAGTTTGAAGAGCATATATCATAACTAAAGAAAATGCACTTAGAAGAAGCACAACAAAAATATTAGTTTGAAGTTGGAAGACCAAAAGTTTGCAGTTGTTATGTTGCTTAAGAGTTTTATGTATTCATGGTCATAGTGATTTTCACATTGGATTGTAGTATAAATTTCGTTTATAAAAATACATGTAATGGCTATAACATAACATTTTATCACTTGAAAGTTGCTTAGCTAATAATTGTTCAGTTTATAACCAACAAACCACACAAATATATAATCAAATAATCCAAAAATCCAACAAACTTGATAAATATCAAGTTACATGATTACAAGAGAGAATAAACTTTTATATTACAAATGTTCCATCAAACAATCTAACAAACCAAACAAATAATAAATAAAAACGCAAACTAGTCGGTGTCTTAATAATCTTATGATGAACACCGAGAAAACATGAAATTTTTCTATGTTTTTTTTTCTCAATGATTAAATGAGATCATCGGTGTTAATCTCGTATTCATCATCCAAAACAAGCTAACGAAAGAGAAAGTTGTCGGTAAGAAATGGTGACATATAAAGGAATCAATGTGATGTCAAAGGTACATCATTTACATCATGGACCCTTCAACCTTATTATGAAGTTTTTTGATGTGGTTTGTGCAACACATATTTTGGTAGGGATTGTAATGGACCTATATTATTGTTTATTTCATCTATGCTAAGTGTGATATTTTTATTGGATAAAAGACCGGACAATAAATGTTTCAAATTGATAGCTGATGAAGTGGCTTTGCAGAACTACATGTGTTTTGCTTCTTGACATGACAACGAGTTAAAAATACTTAATCGGAACCGAAAGAAACGCAGTTCGAGTTGAAGAAGAACAGGAACCTAAACGACATTTTAAAGTTTGAAGAGCATATATCATAACTAAAGAACATGCAGTTAGAAAAAGCATAACAAAAATATTAGTTTGAAGTTCGAAGACCAAGAGTTTGCAAATGTTATCTTGCTTAGAGTTTTTTGTATTCATGGTCATGGGGATTATCACCTTGGATTGTAGTATTATTTTTGTTTATAAGAATACATGTAATGACTATAGCATAACATTTTATCACTTGAAAGTTGCTTAAGCTAATAATTGTTCACTTTATAACCAACAAACCACACAAATATATAATCAAATAATCCAAAAATCCAACAAACTTGGTAAATGTCAAGTTACATGATTACAATAGAGAATAAACTTTTGTATTACAAATGTTCCATCAAACAATCTAACAAACCCAACAAATAATAAATAAAAAACGCAAACCAGTCGGTGTCTTAATAATCATATGATGAACACCAAGAAAGCATGAAATTTTTCTATATTTTTTTCTTTATTAAATGAGATCATCGATGTTAATCTTTTATTCATCATCTAAAACAAGCTAACGAAGGAGAAGGTTGTCGATAAAAAATAATGAAATCTAAAGGAATTAATGTAATGTTAAAGGTCCATCATTTACATCATGGACCCCCTTCAACCTTATAATGAAGTTTTTTGATGTGGTTTGTGCAACACATTTTGGTAGGGATTGTAATGAACCTATATTATTGTTAATTTCATCCATGAAAAGTGTGATATTTTTATTGGATAAGAGACCGGACAATAAATATTTCAAATTGATACATGATGAAGTAACTTTGCAAAACTACATGTGTTTTGCTACTTGACAAGCCAATGAGTTAAAAGATACTTGGTAGGAACCGAAAGAAACGTAATTTGAGTTGAAAAAGAACATAAACATAAAACAACAGTTTAAAGTTCGAATGACATATATAATAACTACAGAAAATGTAGTTAGAAGAAGCACAACAAATATATTAGTTTGAAGTTGGAAGATCAAAAGTTTGCAAATGTTATCTTGGTTAGGGTTTTTTGTATTCATGGTCTTAGTGATTTTCACTTTGGATTGTAGTATTAATTGCATTTATGAAAATACATGTAATGGCTATAGCATAACATTTATCACTTGAAAGTTGCTTATCCAATAATTGTTCACTTCATACCCAACAAACCACACAAATATATTATCAAATAATCCAAAAATCCAACAACCTTGATAAATATCAAGTTACATGATTACAATAGAGAATAAATTTTTATATTACAAATGTTCCATCATACAATCTATTTGTATGTAAAAACGCAAACTAGTCGGTGTCTTAATAATCGTATGATGAACACCAGGAAAGCATGAAATTTTTCTATGTTTTTTTCTTAATGATTAAATGAGATCATCGGTGTTAATGTGATTATCACATTGACTTCTACACACATTTTTACATACAAATAAATTGAGCATGTAGCAACCATTTTCACGAAAAATGTCAAACTCCAGATTTGTTGTTTTTTTATTAAATATTGAAGTTGTTGACTAGAACTATGAGTCCACTTTTTTTTGTCATTCTAGTGAACAACTCTTTCTTTTAATCTCACCCAAAGTTTATTTTGTTACAGAGTTCAAGATCAATGTTGAAGAATACAAGTCCATTGTTGCTAAAATAAATAATGGAGATAAACTACTAACATAAAAAGTTGTTAACAACAATAGTCATGAAACAGATAGTAGCCGAGTTGAATGAGGGCATTTTGACACAAACACAAAGATAAACATGTGAACCACAGCATAAACAGATATAAAAGGATAACAAACTAACACATCTAATAAACCAATGTAAGCACAAAAGCTAAGAAAATTCAAAAGATGATCTTTTTACAGAGTAACCAGTATGAAGGCCATAAAGACTTAGTTCCATTACATGTTAAAATAATATCAACAAGAAAAAGACTAAACTGACCTCCATGTTCTTGTATACCAAAACCCCCGAAATCTTTATTCAGCAACATTCACCAACTCATACTCCACCAGAGACAAGTTGTTATCCTCCTTAACAGTAAAACTTGCAGGCTCAGTCACCTCAATTCGCCCCCATTTATCCACAGCAAGTCTCATGGACCCTTTGAACATATCAATCTTCGCATTTCGGATTATCACAGAGTTTCCAGCCTTCATCAAGTCCACTGTCATAACAAAAACTTACACAAAATGACTTTGCAAAACCAAAAATGGCTAAATATCATCGATTTCTAAATTCGAACAAATAGATCGAACCAGAAGCTTGGACACAGTAAATAGAACGAAGTAAAATTAAGAAATTATCATGGAGAAGTAGTGTGTGTGTGTGTGTGAGAGAGAGAGAGAGGGGACCTTGATCGTTACGAGCAGTGAAGAGAATGGTGCCGGTTTCATCACCAATAAGGCATTCGGCGATGCGAGTGTTAGCAGCGCCGGGTCGGCTACTGAATGACGATGAGATGCGCGATTTCTTGTCTAAGACCGTCGTTGAAGACAATACCTTGACGGCGAGGGTATGGCCGTTGGTTCCAGGTTTCAGGTCACCCACCTTCACGAACACCGGCTTCCCGCTTCACTATTCCTCTTCCTCCCTGTTCTGGTTGTTGATTTTCAATCTCCACCGCCGCCGTTTCATTGATCGTCGCCATCTACGCCTTTGAAATGAAGAAATCGAGGTTCAGTTAGTTGGTGATTTGGTACCCCGTAATCGATAAACCCTAACCCTAAAATCCTAAGCATGCGATTGCCACTCGAACCACGTTTTGTTGTTGCGTTTTGGGGTTTTCGAGTTTGGTGTTGTTGCGTTTTTTAGTACCCAAAGATTTTAAATGTTTTAGTTTTGATCCATATTGTTTTGGTTTATTCAATTCTAAAGCGTTTACTTAGTTTATTGGAATCTAATGTACAAATAAAGGGAAATTGAGTAATCCAACCTAACGTAAAATTTATTGGAAGAAAATAATAAAAAAAAATGGTTTTATAAAAGTATTTGCCAAGTCAAAAATAACGGATTTCGGACTGAGAAAAAAGAAATTTGATAAAAAAATACATTTCTGACTGAAATTCCAAGATTTCGGAGCAATATTTTGGTTTTTGGATTGAAGTTTCGGAACCTGAAATTTCAAGAAAAAAAAAATGTTTTTTACTAAATTCTAACAAAATGTTAAACAAACATAGTAAATAAGCAAAATATACGTTAATATAACTTAAAATTAAACAACTGATTACAAAAAAGAAATCTCCAGAAAAGTCCTAATATTTTAGACGGGTTTATTATTCAGTCCTAAATTAAATTTCATTAATGAAAAAGGACAGGAAACCGGCTAGTTTAATCACTTTGACCCTTTTTTTTTACCATTTTAGCAGGTTACTGCTGAGGTGGAGTGTCAACTGGACTGATGGGCTGACGTGGCATCTTACGTGGAATTCCCTTCCTTTAGAAACTAAAAAAGTCAATTTTTAGGGGAAAAGAAGGAGAGGGACTCAAACCCTTGACCTCTCACTCACAAACCAAACACCTTACCATGTGAACTAAAAGCATTTATTGGTATTATTTCTTCAAATGTATATATAAAGTCTTAATAAATTATTAAATGATTATCATTATCTCCACCCCCCCCCCCCAACCTTTCTTCTTCCCTTCGTTTGTTTGCAACCACCGATTTTCTCAACAACTGCGTCAATAACTCTGGCAACCACCATTATATCTTCACCATCGGAAAATTCGTTATGGTTCCAAGTTCAACCACCATTAACCATTAGCATCAAACCTTAAACTCAGAACAAAAAAGAAGCATCAGTGCAGATGACGTCAATGGAAATAGAGATAAATGACGATAACAACGACAATGGAGGCGAAGATAAACGATGATAACAACGATGAAAGTAGATCGCGCAAATCCGACGTCGACGGAGGCGGAGATAAACAATGACGAATGTAGAATCTTCGATGGATGGGAGGAATCGTTGGAGGAATAAGGTGACGGGGAAGACAATAGGTTATCCGACGGCTGAAGGTTCCCAATGAATTAGGGTTTTAAATGACTTAGAGATGATAGAGGGAGGATACCATTTTAACATTCGGGGGATTTAAGATTTTATAAATACATTTGAAGAAATAATATCAATAGATGCTTCTATTGATAATAGGTTATCCGACGGCTCATGGTAAGTTGTCTGATTTGTGAGTGGGCGGTCAAGGGTTCGAGTCCCCTTCCCCCTCTTTTCCCCTAAAAATCTGATTTTTTAGTTTGTAAAGGACGGGAATGCCACCTAAGATGCCACGTCAGCCCATCCGTCCATTTAGCACGCCACCTCAGCAGTAACCTGCTAAAAATGTTTTTTTTTTAAAAAGGTCAAGGTGATTACAATAGTCGATTTTCTGTCCTTTTTCAGTAATGAAATTTAATTTAGGACTATATCATAAACTTGCCTAAAATATTAGGACTTTTCTGGAGATTTCCCATTAAAAAATAATGATATTAAACACTTTAAAATGAACATTTTCGATATAGGTAGAGAAAAAATTATGAAAAAAAATAAACCCTAATTTCAAAAACAAACTATAATAGAAAATTCGAAAGTAAATGTATTTTTTTAAAACTACTACTAAAAGAAAAGTTATTTTCTTTAAAAAGTTTATTTGATTAGTTTACTTAATTTCCCACAACTAACCCTCGGTGTTTAAATATTTTAAGTAATGTTAAAAAATTCCTTAAACTTTGTACATTTTTTGGAATAATTGTAGCGCCGAAAGATTGAAGAACAAGATTGCAAACGACAAAATAAAATAAAATAAAACAAAACGTATGGATTTGATTTTATTTATCGTCAAAATCTTACGAGATGATATGACGTTTTTGTAATTATGTGCGATATTTTGGTATTTTACGGCAATTAGTGACGACTATTATAACATCTATTGCAAGTACTAGATCTTTCAATGTTTGAATTAGTTATGAATGAAAAAGCCAAGTTTAAGAGAGTCACGAAGTGAGAGATAATGTCTCACGATGTGACTTTAGGCGGAGTCACGTGGCCATTTTAAGGCTCATGACGTGACACATAGGTGTTCGCGTCTTAAGTTCAGGCTAACCCTCAGCCTCCATCACATTCTTCCTGCCCAAAACGCTATTAGCCTCCATTAGTGACCTTAAACAGCTTATTTGGTGGTTTTTGGCCCTTAAAAGAAGAAGAATACTCTTTGGGTGCATCATTTTGGCAATCAAGCTCCTACTTCATCATCTTGATGTGATTTTGGACCTTTGTAAGTTATAAAGTTCATGCATTTATCTCTAATGCATGCTAGATCTAATATTTATGCTTTCTTTTTCATGGATGGGTTGGGTAGCATGCATGTGATCCATAAAGTTAGTACCTTTTGGGATCATTGAGGCGTTTCCTTTTAGTAGGAGTTCGTAGGAGTTCAGATCTGAAGTTTGGTGTTGGTTTTTGACTCCAAGCATGAGACTTGATCCCATTATCTTCTTATTGACCTAGTTTGTGTTCAAGTCATGCATTGGACATGCATGACTGTAAAGCTTTGATTTTTATGATTCTTAAGGTTGGGGGAGACCCTCTGTAAAGTCTTAGGGAATGGCTTAAGGTATTAAGAGTTTAATGCTCAAAGTTGGCTAGAGCAGATCTCATAACGTGAGTAGGCCTGGCAATCGTGTCGTGTTCGGGTTGACGTGTCGCGGGTTGGCGGGTTGGCGGGTCAAAATATGTTAACCCAAACACGACCCATTTAAATAGGTCACGGGTTGGCGGGTTTGGAACATAAACCCATATATGACCCGCCAACCCATTTATTTATATGGGTTCACAAGTTGGCAGGTTCGTTGGTCAGATTCCATAAATAAAATTGACAAGTAAATATGAATAAATTCTTGATGGTTGATGCAAACATATTCGAATTTTAGACACTTAAGTTTTAAACATCCAAATGAAGATTTAAAACATTCATAGAAACATGTTCAAACTAAACATTAATACAAACATAGATAATTCAAGTGCTAAAGTAATTTATTATATAATACTTATTAAATATTAATACTTGATACATAAATACATTTAAAAATAAAATAATTTTTTTTATTAAAAAATATAAACGGGTTGGCGGGTCAACCCGTTTATTTTTTGAGAAACCGATATATGACTCGTTTAATAAACGAGTTAGCGTGTTGGCGGGTTAGCGGGTTGGCGGGTTGAAAAACTCAACCCAAACTCATTTATTTTGTGTCGTGTCGCTGATCGTGTCGATAATTGTCAGCCCTAAACGCGAGTAATAACATGTCATATCGTGAGATGTGGTATTCACAACTATTTTGTCCTTTTCCAATCACGACGTGACCTATGGGTGGTCACGACGTGACCGTTAGTTGGAGTTGACCATGGTTGACTTTTTAACCTTGGTTGATTTAACGCCCGTAGATCCGGGCTAGTCAATTTAGAGATAATAGGGGTCGAAAACGATTTTTTGACAAAAGATTATTTAGAATAAATAATCTTAACCAAGTTGTAGAATACGTCTCAAGGGTTCCGTACATATAAAGAACGTTGAAATCCGAGTTATAACGAAGAAGTTATGGTCCGTCGAAGTTTTACGGCAAAACCGGCACGACACCGGGAGACGTAAATAGTGAATTTGCGATGGAGGACTTTTTAGCCTTAGAAATCTAAACAAAAGTTGTAGTATACGTTAAACCGAGAACATACAAAAAACGAACGCCCAAATCTGACTTCGTATGAGGAAGTTATGAATTTTCTAAGATTTGGCTTAATAGTGCACGGCCCGAAACTCGAATTTTAGATTGAGCGGTTTTTGGCCTACGCGACCTAAATGAGAATTGAAGATCTCATTAATAGGAACTCAACGGTAAAAAGACAGACGAAAACAGAGTCCGTATGTAGAAGTTATGAATTTTACGCGGACATTTAACAGTATAATCTCCTCGTACTGTTAAATTTAAGATCGGTTGAGAACTAACCGACGGAGTCAAAATGAAAGTTGTAGATCTTATTTTTACCTACGTGTGGATATAAAGAACATCAAAAATGGAGGTCGTATGTGAAAGTTACGGATTTTAGAAGTCGGAAATGTGCTGTGCGAAAATGAGTGATGTGGCACAATCTTGGCCATTGCTTTCTCCCCAAGTCTTGCCACTAGATGGTGACATGTGGCACCAAGTTCAACCATTTTTCACCCTATGAATAGAACCTCTCTCACCCTCATTTTCTTCACACATTTCCCATTCTTTCTTCTCTTTACTCTCTCTCTAGCCCCAAAACCCCCCGAAAAGCATAGGGAACCTCCCTAGCACGAGGCGGAAGCCTCGGAGTGCTCGACGGCTTCGAGAAGAAGAGATTTTCGGCTCGGGAACGCTGCTCCAAGCAAACCCGGTTTTCTATAAAACCTGTTGAAAGTGAGCTACACCTACGCTATTTTTAATATAGCTTTTATTTAATTATAATAACGTTATTAAGAACTTATAATAAGTACTTGGGCTATTATTATGAGTTATATAAGTATTTTTTTTAACGCTTATATAATAGTAATAATAGCTAGACTATTAATTAGTCTCGGCGAATAATATACTAAACTCTAGTGGTAATAATAATAGGTTTCGTCGAAGGAAATTATTTTTAA